AACTGAAACATCTCAGACTGCTTTATGATATGTGACAATCATTAAAGGTAAGACTTAACAGCAGCCATAGCATCAAAATCAGGGAGTGATGAGAATGTTATTTATTTAACATATATCAGTAAGTTAGCTCTCCTAAAGAAGGAAAAAGAAATCACTCTTCCTTGAAATAGACATCAGAATTTTATTACTGCCTGCAAAATTATAAGTATATGACTTTATTTTAAAATTCTAAATATGCTTACACTTTAACATATATTTTATTTGGATTGATGTATTTTTAGAATTAGAGAAGTCTACATGTAATTAGCCTTTTAAACATTTTTAGTGTTGTAGACTTTTTTTCAAATGTATATATCATATAATGAACAGCTATAAAGAGGTATGGAAAAGTAAAAGAATGTAAAGTTTGAGTTTTGAAATTGGATAAATCTGGGGCAAATTGTTTAACAAGAAATCCTAATCAGAGGCAGAATGCAAAACCCAACTTGAAGCAGTATAATAAAACAACATGTGAAATATTTATGGCAAAAAGAATAAAAAGTCAATCGGTTATGTATAACAATGGAGGAACTAGTCTAATGTGATCAATGTAGAAAAAACTCAGAATCAGGATTCCAGTTACAGTAATAAGGTTTTAGAGGTTGGAATTTAATCCTGGAAGAAAGAGTCATTTTAAGTGTAGTAATAAGTTACATGAGTTAAAAAGTTGGAAATTATATCAAGGAAAATGATATGACATGGCAGAAAATGATGGAACTAGAATCAGTTTTGTTTTTCTGCTTTGATATGCTTCTTTTTTCAGTAATTAATTGAAACATCCTTACCAGTAGTGAATTATTAAATCAAAGTAGTGTCAAATGGAGAAATGCTTAATTTTAGCAGAATCACTTCAGTACAGATATAAAGAATTTTTAAACAATTAGTGTGATTTCAGACAGGATTTTGGGTGGGACCACAAGTGTGATGTTAATAATTTTCTAACTTTTGCAAAATTATTTATTTTGCATTAAATTTTATCTGGCAGTATCTTTTCAATACTGTCCTACCTATTACTTCATTTAAGCTGGCTTTCACAGAAAAAAAGAGAAAAAAATTATCTAAAAATTACCACAAAGTAACAACTAGAACATAAACAAAGATTAAGACTGTTAAAAATTCCCAGTACTTGAATAGTTTTTGTATGTCAGAGTGAATGATTTTCTGTTGTTGTAGTGGCAAATGTGTCAGCAAGAAAACCCCTTTATTGTTCAGATGTATTTTTATTTTA